ATAAATTAGTGGAACACTTTTCTAGAATGTTAGAGATTCTATGTAACGTAAGGAATGTAACTGATAAATAACACGCGTTTACATAAACAGCTTTTTTACTTACATTTTTTAATAAATGCATTTGTGGCTAACTGCTGGTGGCAATCTGCCTTAAAAGGCATCAGCACGCGGTCCTTCTAGCAATGTGAGTGTCCTTGGGCGACGGTATAACGGTATTGCCTCTTACCTCTGTTCTATAAAAAAAAGCAATATCGAGGGTTGCTCGATAGACGAAAAATATGGCACAGAGCGCGCCACGTTTTTTCACAATAATACCAGTATTTTTTGTTCATTACCATTTTCAGCCTAAATTAGGAATTATTTTTCACTTTTTAGTTTGATGTGCTTTAAAAGCGTGTTTTTTAGTTTCTTTAAACTATATTTATTTTCCACTTTTTAGTCCTAGCAGCAATACGTGTTGTCTCAATTTAATCGTATTGCTTTGTGGACTTCATTGTTTTTTCGAGATAAACCTATGAAATTATTATATTGTCGCTGATTCTTTATAAGTGTACAAAGTTTGAATTAAATCTGTCCGTTTAATGGGTCAAAATCGAGTCCGAAGGAGTCGGTTATATACATACATACATACATACATACAGGTGAAGCTAATATAAAGCGTGTAAAAAAAGCAATATCGCTTACAGTTTGTAGTAATCAGATAGTGCCAAGTTGCACAATTTTGTGGTGTTCATGACAATCATTCCCAAAAGCTGTACCATATCTTCAAGCTCCAACCTAGTATTATGTATTCTGCAGCTAATCCGTCTTATGTCAAAGACAGACTTGCGCTTATGCGGATTCAATAACGGCCTAATCGAATGTCATATACAAACGTCAAACTAAATGGTTGGATAGAGCTAAGATTAATATAGGCTTTAGAAAAATTACTAAAACATCGTCAATTCTTAGAGGCTTTGAAAATTATATTGATTCGAAGCCTTTCATATTAAGTAAAGATTTTTGACATATGCAAACCTCCGTATTTCTGGAGAGGGATATAAATAATATAGTTCCAAAAATCCAAATGCAATACCGGTACAAATCGTTTGGCAAAAATAAAAAAAATGCTGATTTTACGGCGTTTGGCGGCCATTTGGACCCGTCCGAAAAGTATGGCATGGTGATTTTCGTAAATGGCTGCACGACGATGATTAACTGTGCAAAAATAGCCTGGTACAAATGGTTGATTTTTTTTTAAATCATCGCATTCGCGTCGGAATGGCGGGCTGTAAGTCACACCGGAGAAGTATGGCATAACACTGCCGCCTCTTATTTTTTATGGACTATCGGAAAATACTAGAATTTTTGTGGAACAAATCGTTTAAAAGTCGTAAATAATCCGACGAGTTCGACTAACGCCCACGCGCTTGGGCCGCCGGTACCAGCGCTATGACCATCAAAATTCTTTCTTTAATTTCGTAATAAGACCCCTGTAGAACCGCCACATTGCAATTGGTACAAATGACTAACTATTTTGTGTCACTATTCCGGCCTATTTACACATGTTTCTATATTTGTAGATCTAAATTTCCATTTGCATATTGTACTACATATTTATAAGGAATATAATTTTGCAAATATGGAAAGAAAGCCATTAATATATCAGCTACCTAAAAGTCGATAAAATTAATTAATTGGATTAATTAATTTATATATGGAAGCGAAACGCGGTTCTGATTAGGCTAATAATTGTTTACTACAGTGTTATAATTATAGCGCTTGGGATTTACAGTAGTGATAACAGTATCATCACTTAATAATATTTACTTAAATATTTAATACCACTGTATAAACAAGTTTTGGTACAAATAAGTGAGATTATATTTTTTTAAACCGGATTTTACTACAGTAACATATCATGTTAAGGGTAAATCTTTATTTCTTTATATTAAAGTTGTGGATAAAAATAAATAAAACAAAATATGATAAGCTTTCACCATTTGGGTTACCTGATGCTCTCTGCAAATAGACAGCAGATATCTTAAAGGAGCGATCACTTATTGTAGTCGTCGATGGCTGCTCTTCTGATCTAGTGGTTGTTAATGCCGGTGTAACACAAGAATTTGTTCTTTCTGCGACTCCCTTCCTGGTTCATATCAACGATCAAAATCTTCAAAAAACATATCTTCAGTTATCCCGGTTATTTCACAAAAGTTCACACCGGAACAGCTTCTTAACCTTTATCAAGCTCTAGTTCTTCTCTGTGAGGAGCACTGCAGTCTTCTCTGGGCCGGTGCTGCCTAGTGTCATCCGGGTGCCGTGGATGCTGTTGAGAGGCGAACTTGAAGTAGTCTTGACCATCGCCTTTCAGTCTTCTCTAGATTGCACCCTGGTGCACCTGCACCCAATGCTCCTTAGAACTGATCCCGTCATGAGTCATCCCCTTTGAAACTCGCTCGTCTACAAGCACGCTAGAGCTTCACCCCTTAGTTATTGAAATCTCCAGGTGCCGCTCTACACTGTTTGCATCGTCACTTATGAAAACAGCTAAGGAGTTGATCTCCTTACCTACTTCCTTTCCTAAAGAGAATAACATATTTTCATTCAGGAGCCATCTAAATATATAAATATCTTTGACAGGCCCTTCAATAGGCTGCATCTTACTTAAAAGGTTGTAAGGCTTGGAGCAGTTCCTCGCTGTATTGCGATGCTAATACGCTGAGCGAAGAAAGTACCAGCCTTCGTACTACGGTAATGTCTATTTCACATGATATGGAGACGGCTGTAGCTAAGTAGCTATTTGATAAACTTTTAGCCAAGCCGCCTCTTTTTTTTACGCTATTGTTTGTTTGCATAAAGTGCTCCCATATAAAAAATTATTACAACGATCAAATAAAGTCGAAATGTCCATAAAACATTCTTAAGTTAATTTAGGCTAATAGTATGAATATAAGTAGTAGTTTATTAATTACAATCAGGTATAGAGTATTAACAATCTTCTTAACCTACAAAGTAGATAATAATAAAAATTATTAAAAAGAAAATCAAAACAAATTTAAAAGTTTGGTCCCTGCGGCAGTGCTTTTGTATTTATTAATTTATGTGGAGATTTATACAAATTACTTTACACATGTGATATTCACAAAGGGTTTGTAGGGCTGTTTTGTCGCATAGTGCTATTAGGCAACTTTAATAATTCATATGGAGTGCCCTAATCGATTTTGCATAAGTGGCGGCCTGTACCGACTTCAAAAACCCGAAAGAGGAGGTTATCAATTCAACGTTTATGTATGTTCAAGCATACCAAAAGCCGTTGACCAATCTGGATGTTTGACCTTCAAACTAAATTCTTAAAGGATCTTAATGTACCCCTTGTATGAATCACAATGCATACATGCATGCATTTTCTTCGTAATGCAAATAACGTCCGTATAATGAAACGCGAGAAAAAGAGTCTGTTTCTAGTTTATCAACAGTTTTACTTTAAAAAGGCTACATATTTTTTACACAAATATGTTAAAAAGGTTCATTTATTATATATTTCGACTATAATATAGTCACTATATTATGATAAATTGTGTATTGTGTTCTATTTTCGAATTTTTTTACTCCTCTACTCTGCGTTGAGTGTGCCAGTTATACTGACCTGCGGTTTAACCTCGCTTCTAAAACTGATATGTATTGTTTACCGTAATAAAATACTAATTACAAATACATTAGTTCAAATTACTATTGGGAATATTAATAATAATGTTTGTTTTTGACTTATCATTATAGTCGGCTTTGTGGTTTGAGCTTTATTGTTAGGTCATTACAGATCATACACAAAGTTTACCAGAGCACGAAAAGGACATCGAATTAATACATTATCTTATATAGGTACATTTGCCGTCTATACATATAATAATTAGTAAAAACTGTGTAAGTGCGTCAAAAAAAATTTTGAATAATTAAAAAATATTGTATCCCGTTACAGATAGATTAAGCATTTGTTTCTTTGAAATTCGGACTTCATAGTGGCAGAGAAAATAATAATACCAAATAGGCCGGGAATTTTCCCACTAAAATAGGTGCCAATGGGCTTTGGGGCCTTTTATGGCTGCCCCGTATGCTCGTTTGCCTATTTATAAAAATCTGCATTTAATGACTTATAAGTAACCAAATCCCTGTTAAAATATACTCGTATAAATTAGAAACTTTACTTTTATATCTTTTGTATAATAAGTAAATTGTTTATTAAACGTACATATTACAAGCTGACTTATCCACGCGATGTCGCAGGTATGAAGTAGTAAAAACATATTTATTTACAAATTGAAATTACCGGACCTCAGTAAATCGATATCCTGTTTGTTCCTCCTTATCATTATAGTATTTATACATCTGAGTTCTGTATAACGAGCCATTAATGCAGAGCGTCTTGTCTCTCGTCGCAGTAAAGTTTATTATGTATGGGAATTTATAATGTTTAAACTTTATTTGGAGCAGAAGCTTATTTGTTTCGGTAAGTTTTTTTTTAAATATTCTTATATTAATTGCTTTAACTTTCTAATTGAGTTTACAATGCCATGACTGTTACTCCTGTAATGATGTCTTTACACTAAACTTTTAAGATCCCTCCTACTTTCCAAAACGTAAATTCGTAACTTGTTAAACCATTTTTATTGGGAAGTTAATAATATTTAATATTTTTCATTATTGATGACCATATATTTTTTATGTTTCTGCACTGAGATATCATGTAACATTACGATCTAGTCTAACTTTAGACTTATTTAAGTCTAACCTAATTGACTAAAAAGGAGTTTTATAAACATTAGTTTTAACAATTGATTAATGCTGCATTAAGTTACTAGATTTTACTAGAGTTTTTATTATACATTGTACCTATTGTATAATAAAATCGTCTAAAATAGGCAAGCCCTCGCGTGTTTTGGAGGACATGTTTCAGTTAAATGGTAGAATAATGTTTTTATTAAATATAGGTATCATCCATTTTTATTTGTATTTTGTAGGTAATGGGATCTGATATGAACTCTGGGCACTGGGAAGTTTTGAGTAACCTTCTTGCCAGATTCGAAAGAGAACCAAAACAGATTATCGGAAGACGCACTACTTCCTGGTTTTTGGTTGGCGAAGAAATATTTAAAGAGTTCTACAAACTCGGACTCACCATAGAGTGGCAATTTTCTAGGATTGAGAGCAACTACGACGTTAATCACATTTGCTCTCAGATACAAAGTAATGTTGGTTGGCTGCAAAGTTTTATAAGTCTTTATCCGAATTTAAAACTCGACTTTGAGTTTGCCTGTTCCTCGGATGACATTTGCCAGGTTAGATCAGGAATTGATGTTTTATTGAAAGGGTTTGCAAATTTAAACGAAAATTTTGATAGTGTCTTAAGAGAATTAACTGAAGAAGGAGACGTTGAAGATTTTGATCGCTGTTTAAAAATTTGGATAGAAACGGGCCACCGTCCTGACTTCTTAGGTGAGACAAATAACGTATTTCTGGAACATTGGTGGTGGTTTTAAATTAATTAAAAAAAAAAAAAAATACAACTATGGAAATTGAAGAAGGAAAGTGGCAACATCAAGCTCACGAGAACATCGATAAATATTTACACAGAGGTGGTGATGGAAAAGGAAATGAGCCGCAACTGCTTTACGGTTCAAATTTATATAATACAATAGGCATAGCAATGGGTTTACCTCTTCGCGATCCGACAGTATTTTCACATGAAGAGTTTGAACAAGCTGAAAAAGGAGAATTAGTTTTTTTCGATTCGGAATCGCTTAAGGCTATACATATAGTAGCTTTTGGGATACGAGTAGCTTGTAATGGAGATTCTAAGGTTTATTTAACGGTTGTACCGATTGAGCTATACTATGAAAACAAACTGTATGAAGTACCAGTATTCAAAGTGCATCGCTATCACCACTCAAAAATATATTACGTTGATAATATTGGAAGACATTACGACAGCTTTGATGATTGGAAGAATAATAATAAACTGCCACCATGTAAAATAATATATCCGCAAAATCTTGAATTAACATCGGATGGTCAACATACTCTCGTTTCTCCCCCCTATGAGCCTCCATCAGCGCAAACTGAGACTAAAGTATTGCATGGGATCGATATTGCTGCTGGAATTTTGGGGATTGGGTCTGCTATTGGTTTAATGGTAGTTTCAGGACCAGCGGCACCCTTTCTAGCAATAGTAGGTATTGCTAGTGCAATTTGGGGAACATCTAGAGCTATTAATGATTTGGTTGATCGAGGAGAACATGGGCAATCTATTGATCCTTTCACTGATTCAACTGCAAGAATGCTATGGCTTGGTATCGCAGCATCTATAGCTAGTTTTGGAGCTATGGGTGCTACTATGAGACTCTCCTCTCTAGTTGCTCGTGGTATACAAGTATCAAATGCTTTAAAAATATTAACTAATGTCGTGAATGGAGTAAGCATAACACTTAACTCAGCTGCTATTGTAAACAATAGTATATACTTGATTCAACATATACATGAAATGTCACTTGCCGACATTCTTCTTAACGTCGCATTACTTGCTTTTTGGACAAAAGGTACTTTTGCATTCAAAAGATCGAGTGTCATTATTTCAGAAGCGCATGACCGTGCTTTCGCTTCTATAAGCCAAGAATTACCCCCAGAAACTAGAAGCTTTTTTTCAGAGTTCAGGAGTAGAGTACAGGAGATGTTAAACATAGATGAAATAGAACTTTTACAGTTATTCAAAAGAGCAAGTGAATCTAATATATCTATTCGTGAATGTGCTGAATTCTTGATAGATGGAATGCATTACTATGACACAGTACCAAAACTTACTTCAGATCAAATTGAATCGCTATCCAGTTTACGAGACTTCATACAGGACGATTTACAACTACTTTACGGTCTGCAAAGAATTTCTACAGCAGCAGGTTCTGATAGAGAACAAACATTGCGATTAGTACTTGAACTATGGGATCGATACGTTATTAGTAATCGACCAAATACAGATGATGCGCATTTTATACCTGGCTATATAGTGTTAGGCCATGCTCCTCCAATTGAAATAACACAATTAGAAAACCTATCACCATCACTCATTAGATTTGTTGGTGAACATTTGAGTACAATACATACAGATGCGATTCACGAGTGGTCGATTACAGAATTAACGTCTCTTCAAAACCGTGGTCTTTTCATTGAATGCCCTGTTACTGGAATTAAAGCTGGATATGCCACTGTTTCATTAAAAGGTTGTTTGGACATAAGCTTGAGGAAACTTGATTCCTTCCCAGAAGATACTTGTTTAACAATTTTGAAAATGATTGGAAGACTGAGTGAAGAACAAACTAGTTCCAGTTCTAAACTACCCTCTGAAGTTGTTAAAACTTGCGTATCTAAGAATAGATTACGGTTTGAAGTTCATAGAAAGGAAAGTGTAGAATGGGCTCTTCAATCTGTAGCTCGTTATCCAGAGTTAACTGAAATAATCAACTCTGATCTAATGCCACATGAAAGGGATAGATTGTATACTTTTAAAACAGAAGCGAGCGCTAAAGAAGTAGAATCCATTAATAAAACGCCCTATATGGATCAGATGATGGATTTTGTTCACGAAATGAATCCAAAAAATGTAAGTGAACTTGTTGCTTACAGTGAATTTGTAATGACCTACGTTGACGAGAAGATAGCATTGTTAGAAAAGGACATTCGAGATGGCAAAGAAATATTACCTCATAATATGAAAAAGAAACCTTGGTTGCGTATGTATAAATTTGCAAGTCTATTCAAATTTACATATTATTTTTATATTATGGTAATTTGATTTGATTTTATTTATAGGTAAAAAAGCTGTTGAAAAAGCGTTTACAAATGTCCAGGAAATGAGAGACAAATTTACTGAGCTAATGACAATTGTAGAAGAAAATGACATGGCTGGAATTCAAATAGTAGACAAAGGCCTTTCCGATGAAGCGTTGGTATCTGCAATTCGTTCACATAGAATACGATTTGGTGGTAAAGTTTCAGCTGCGTACCATATCTACAAACATCCTACTGATCCTTCTTCAGCATACATTGAACAAGCAAACCAAACGATCGGGAATTCCGAATATCATGTGTCATTGGGCCAAGAAGGTGACTCAAGGATAATTATGTTCAACGATCCAGATGGAGGCAACGCCGTAGTTCTTGAAAAAGATGGGCGAGTTTTACTTTGTTCCTTCAGGGCAGGAGGCAGAAAGTAAGAATGTTCGTCGCTTATAAGTATTTGCAACGTTGTCATGTGCTTGTATTAACATTTACGACTTATTTTCTTAGCATAGATTGTCATCTAAAATAGTTTATTTTTGCTTAACACTAATAAAATATATTCAAACTTTTAAAAATATATGTATACTGTGTGTAATATGGATGATAAAATAATTGAATTTTTTGCTTCTTTTAACACCCAAAGTATGTTGAATTTATAATTAATACCCGATATAGGATTCTATGACGTTTTTAACACTTTATGTATTACTTATTATTTCTTAATAAATTGTCAACATAATAAATATAGATGTTTATTTTTTTAAATGCCATCCATAAAGTCTATCTCATTGTTTATTTACTACCGGCCTTGCTCTTACTTACCGAGACTCAGATATTGGAACATTCATTTGTGTCGTGGGCGTGTGCGTCGCCTCGGGACGCTTGAAGGAACTGACCCTTCTAACTCCTGGCTGCGCATAAACTGCGATGACCATCCGCGATTCTACGAAAGTTTGGACATAGCGAAAGCCCTCGATCGGGTGTAGCACAGAGCACTGCTCTCGAAGCTTCCACCCTATGATTATCCCCGAGAAATTATGCAACTGGAGTTCTAGCTTTCTCGCTAATCGGAGCATCAAGGTCGTCATCGACGGAGCATGTTTCGACAAGGCTGTGTCCTATCCCCGACCCTGTTTATTCTGTATATCAATGATATTTTGCAACTTAGCAACATTCATTGCTATGCGGACAACAGCACTGGGGATACTCTTTGCACTGGAAGGGCAGGTATTTCTCGGGCAATTGTTTGTCGATGAGTACCGGAATTCTTGTTGAAGTTTGGAGTCTTGGAGTCTCGGGATGGGGTAGACTAAATCAAGTTAACCCTAAGAATACACTTGTTTGTGCGTTTTCCGCTTAAAAAAATACCTATTTCTCTGTTTGAAGACACTCTCCTTAAAGCCTCAGCCAGCATCGGAATACTTGACATATCTAATGATGTTCAGTTTCGCACTTTAAAAAAAGATATATATATTTGGTTTATCGTTTACACTTTTTATCCATTTCGTTCAATTCGTTAAAAAGTTTTTCTATTATGGTCTCTGGACTTAAGTTTGAGGGTCTCCTTAATTCTTGTTACAAATTTTGGATACAAGAATGTTACTTTAATGAGCTTTGCGGGGGCTGTCCGCAGCTTAATTAGTTGGGGTTTATCTGCGCAGTTTTGTCCTTATGTTAACTTAAATTCTAATATCTCTAGGTAAATGTTTTATGGAAGTTAGTTCTGTGGTAGTTTTCTTCCTAAAAATATTTAAGGATTCGTCTGTCTAGCTATAAATTAATACATGCACATACATGGTGTACGAAATCATTGTTAGAAATAAGGCGAGGGTTCAAAAAATGGACGGCGTGTGTGGCAGACACAAAAATAATACTACATTTTTTAGATATACATAAACTCAAGGCCAAGACATGTCTTGCCTATGGGCTTGAAAGTTTCATGGTGAAAACTTTTCATTAAGACGGTAATTTAATTACTTACATATGCTTATAAAGAAAACTGATTAGTAAAAATGATATAGAAATATGTGAACCATACACTCAAAAGTTGAGGTAAATTGTTGTATTATGCGAATATTATTTAAAAAAAGGAGATTAATTTAACTTCTTAAAATATGATTGTTGTAACTTTAATTTAAATTAAGCAGCTCGCAAGCAGTTTGCGTTTGACATTCGCGGCATATTTGCCAGATGTGGACGCACCCTAAGATATATTTTATAAAATAGCATTGATATCACTATATATGTAAAAATTAGATATATATATCAAAAGAGCACGTGCAATTGTCTGCGCTAGTAAATTGTAATCTTAATTTGAAGTATGTTTCAGAATAGTATGCCTATTTTGGTATAAATATTGTTACGAAACGGGTCGACTGCAATGTTTTTAGATTTTTCCACTACTTAGAGAACTTTTCAGCAGGCTGAAATGTGATTTCTGACCGTTTCAGGGGAGGGTCAATCACATATTAGAAAATCGTAATTTACATAATTTACCCTAGTTTTCAGGACCCTGAAACATTTTTTCAGGCCGTTTCAGAACACGCGTAGTCGAATGGTACACTTTTCAGGAAACCCGTTTTCAGGCGTTTTCAGGCCTGGTTATACCCCTTTGACGAAGGAATGTTCTAGAACGAATTTTCTAGGTGTGGGAGAAGGACGGAACGATACGCGAGAGAGATAGCTAGTACCACGTTCTAGAATTGTCGATCGCTACTCAGTTCCCGCGCCTAGAGAGTTCTCGAACATGCTCCCAGGGATATAACGAGCCGAAACGCGACCAGTTAGTTCATTTTTAATCGATACCAAGCATAAAACGGAGTGAAAAGTGCGAATAGTGAAGAAAAGTGAATACAAGTACTGTGTGAAGTGCGTTTATAGAGTAATTAGTGACATTATGTTGTGTGTAAGTGAATTTCAGTGGTAATTATAATTTTTAGTGTTAACAAATTCCTCGTAGATTTAATTAGAAATAAACCTTGAAAAATCTACGGCGTTTCTATCCGATCCCCTAGCCGTAACATTTGGTGTCAGAAGTGGGATAGAAAATGCCAATTACTCCAAGGGAGAATCAAGAGGAGTTTGTACAGAGTCTCCACTGCGGAGGGAGTCCAGACAAGGGCGCAATCAGCACGCGACGCTGCCCGACGACAAAGTTTCGATGCGAACCGCGGGATGGGTGAAACAACGATGCCACTGCTTCTTGCTCTGCGCCAAATGATGGAAGAACAGGCACGACGTCAAGAGGAACAGGCACACGTCAAGAGGAACAGGCACGACAAATGATGGAGGAACAGGCCCCGGCAAGAAGAACAGGCACGCCGTCAAGAAGAACAGGCACCCTAATGATGGAAGAACAGGCTCACCGTCGTAGAGGAGGAACAGGCACGGGTCAAGAGGAGCAGGCTCATCAGATGATGGAGGAACAGGCCCGCCGTATCGGAGAAAACTTGGTGACCTGAAAATACAGGTAGAGAAAAAGATCGAGAACTTGGAATCTGATATGGACTGCAAATTTTCGAAACAGGAAACGTATTCCATAGAAAAAGATGCATGCCTAAGACCAAAGGTGTCGTAACACTTAGCACCATCTGAAATCTGAAAGTACCTCCCTTGACGGTACATCTTCCTGGGGCGCGTACAAAATACAGTTTGAGACTTGGCAGAGTCAAACGGGTGGAATGACGATCAGGCTGTCACCGCCCTTATGTTGGGACTGCGAGGCGAAGCCCTGGACGTGTTAGAAGTCATACAGGTAAAGTGACACAGCCTGCTGGATGCTCTGGAGTCACGTTATGGGGACTCAAATTTGGAGCCAGTCATAGGGCTCAATTACGGGAGAGAGCGCAGCGACCAGTGAGAGCTTGCAAGAAGGGGTCTGGAAATAGAGAAGCTGGTAAGAAAACCTACGCATCCTACCAATGTAGCAGACAAGATATTAGTGCAAACCTTCATTGACGGAATAAAATCGTGAAGTCAGGATTAGTGTGAATCTTGGTCACCACAAGAACCTGAAGGATGCTCTTGCCCATGCGCTGGAGGTAGAGGCGATTCGGAAAGATTCTCACCTTACCGCATAGGGCTGTCACGGAAAAACCAAACTCGTTCAACGTGGACCAACCTGTTACCTCTGCGGGAAGTGGGGCACATGAGGTTTTCGTGCCCAAAAAAGACTTCCGAAGTGATGTGAAGGTTAGACGCGGGAATACCTTGGTTATCGACGGAGTTGTCAATGGAACTAATGTGACCTAACACTGGATACCGGAGCTTCACGAACCGTAATCAGATACTTCAAGTCATTTTATGGAAGCCCTTCTCGAGGAATTGTACAGCTTGTTACAGCTACAGGTCACGTATAACCGATCGGGGAGAAGGTATCGCAACCTTCAAGATTGGTGGAAGATTTTACAGACACAAGGTTGTTCTTGCCGAATATAGATGACTGCATAATCGGGTTAGACTATAAGTTACAATTGTAAAATAGATCTGGAAAAAACTTAAGTGTGGAGAACAGGAAGTTTGCTAAAAGGACACTCAATAGTGGTTTTGACGTCTGTAGAGTTATCAATTGGACGGACAGGCCAGTATCAAAAGAGTGGAAAGTTACTGAGACCTATGAGGAAGCCTTGTCAAGACAACCAAAGGCAGAGGAACAATTAAGGAAATTTTCGGACATGTTATCTGCCCATGAAAGAGAGGTTACAAGAAGTTCAGATTGTCTCAACGGCTATGTGAAAAGGTCAACAAAAAGGACAGAAAGGAGATTGGCTATGTGAGAACTTTTAGAACAGACACCATTCATTCAGATTGGGGTGGAAAATTTATGCAGATAGCACAGCAAGAAGATTGTGACATTAAACCAATTCTGGATTGGATGAAATCTTCAGCTGTCAAGCCGCAGTGGAGTAAATCGCATCTACAAGTACCACTACTAAGAGTTACTGGGCTCAATGGGATAGTTTAGTTCTACATAATGGAGTGTTATGTCGCAAATTGAAAAATGCTCAAGGCGATCATTTGCAGATAGTTGTGCCAAGATCAAGGTTCGCGACATATTGGAAATGTTTCATACTGACTTGTCTAGTGGACATTTAGGAGTAAAGAGGACCTTATGAAGATTAAAGAAATATTTTATTGGATACACTATCGTGAAGATGTTGAAGACTGGATCAAGAAATGTAAAGATTGTACTATTAAGGATTCGCAGACTCGGTCTCCATGGGAAAGGATAACGGTGAATGAAAGTGATGATGCTCGGGACGAGCATGTCTAAGGAGGGTAGTGTTACGAAGACGGGTCGACTGCAATGTTTTTAGATTTTTCCACTCTTAGAGAACTTTTCAGCAGGCTGAAATGTGATTTCTGACCGTTTCAGGGGAGGGTCAATCACATATTAGAAAATCGTAATTTACATAATGTTACCCTAGTTTTCAGG